GTGGTTCGTGGTTCCGCTGCCTACCTTGTAAGCCAAAGGGCCAGAGTTCAGTCACTGGTACCATGAATAAATAAATAAATATTTAATGAGAAGAAAGCAACACCTAGACATATCCTGGTGGCTTTAAAAAAAAGAAAAAAGAAATATAGCTCACCACTGGGGGAACATCCATGGGGATCTTTATCAGGGAAGAAGCATTTTGAAAACTTGTTTGCTGGGTGGGCTGGGGATTTAGTTCAGTGGTTCCACTGCCAGCCTCAAAAGCACAAGGTCCCAAGTTCAATCCCTGGTACCAAATAAACAACCCCCCCGCCGAAAAAAAGTGCTGAGAGTTAGTTACCTTTTAATGTTGTTTTGGAGGGGTGTTCTGAAGATATTGAGGAAAATTCAGCTCAGTTTCTCTGACTGTAGTTTAGACACAACACGGAGTACTTCTGTATCCTCAAATGCACGGGGATTTCTTCCCACCAGCAAGCAAGCTGTCCGTTCTGCAGAAAACACAGGCTGAATGTCCTCTAATCCATTTCCAATCTGACACTCATACCTTTCAGGTCCACAGGCTGAGGCTCAGTTCCCAAAAATACCCTCACTTCAGACGCCAGCAGCAAGGCTGGGCCTCTGGAACTTCTGACCAACTGGCTAAAACTTGAGGTTCCTGTGACCCCTTCTTTAGGCTTAATTAACTTGCTAGTGTGTCCCACAAAATTCAGAGAAACAAGTGTTTGCCAGTTTATTATAAAGGCTACTTTAAAAAAAAAATAGCACTGAGGATCAACCCCAGGGGTGCTATACCACTGTTCTATACCCCCAGTTTTAAAATTTTTTTAGTGCATTTATTTATTCATGCATTTGATTTTACTTTTTCTGTAGCATTGGGGATTGAACCCCAAGTGTTTGGGCTAAGCCACATCCCTTTGTAAGATTTTTTGAGACAAGGCCTTGCCTGTGCCACTGAGAGTGCTGGGATTAAAGCCACATGCCACTATTATTTTTATAAGAAGACAAAGTCTTACTGAGTTGTCCAGGCTGGCCTTGAGTTTGAGCTCCTCCTGCCTTAGCCCCATGAGTAGCTGAGATTACAGGCATGTACCACTGAGGCCCACAAGGCTGTTTTAAAGGATGTAGATAAACAAGATGAAAAAATACATAAAGCAGTCTGGAAGGGTGTTGAGTTGTGGTGCTGTGCTCCTTTCACATGGAAGAGCTCCACACGTTTGGCTGCCCAAGAGCTCTTCCAACCTTGCCCCACTGGGTTTTTATGGAGACATTGCCAGGCATGACTGAAGCAGGGAAGATTGTGTTGACATGTGACTGGATACAGAGGTTATAATTTAATACCAATGGACTGAGCGCTGACGCAGCCAGGCTGTCTGTTCAGATTCTGTGTAGGAGAGGACCCTTTGGGAAATGGGTATAATATCATCTACTATAAGACAGGGAAGCTCACAGTTTCTTTATGGCCAAGACAAAGTGGGGAAGGATTAGCGTATATTTTTAGTTTCTGTGACCCACTTTGGGGAAGAGAAATTCTAGTCTCTATGGCTGACCTTGGGGAGAAAAAGGAGGGGTGAAATGGGGCGGAAAGTCAGAGGGAAAGATTTTGCTGTCTGAAGCCTAAAACAGCCTTACTCTCTTTCACCTTCATTTTTCTAAAACTGTTCCAAAGCTGCTTCAGGAACTAAGGACAGAAAACCAAATACTTCAGCAAAAAATATACTTGCTGTTCTAGTCATTTAGGAAATGACAAGGGCTATGGCACAACCAGGAGTTATGGACAAAATACATATTTCGCAATATCATAGATGTAGATCCTTCAGTTTTATAAGTCAGCCTTTTCACCATGACTTAAGAGGTTTCACTTATCTTTGCTTTACTATTTTGCTTTGGTATTAATTTGACTTTTGGTACTATTTTGTAGCTTTTGGTCATATTCAAGGGCAATTACAAAACAGACTAAGAAAAGTTTCAAGGTAGGTTGGGAAAACGTAGTTTTACAATTTCTAGAAAGAAAAAAATAAAGGACACAGAGAAATGCCACCCTGTTGGAACCATATGCCTAGTGACATCTCCATTTAGTCTGTACATAGTTAGATCAGAACAATGAAAGAGAATGTCAGGGCAGGGACTGTGTTCTCAGTGCCTGTCATCGGAGATGCTCAATAGCCATTTTTAGAATGTTGAATGGGGCCAGATATAGTGGTGCATGCTTGTAACTGTAGCACTTGGGAGGCTGGGGCAGGAGGATTGCTATGAGTTCAAGGCCAGTCTAGGCCACACAGTGAGTTCAAGGCCAGCCTGAACTACATAGCAAGACCCTGTCTCAAAAAAAATTATTATTTTTTTAAATGTTGAATGATGCCAGGTGTGGTGTCACACGCTTATAATTCCAGCACTTGGGAAACTGAGACAAGAGGATTGCCATGAGTTCAAGGCCAGCCTGGACTACAATACTGCCATCTTGGACTACAGAGTGAGATCCTGTTAAATGAATAAAATAAAGTAAAATATTCACTGAACAAGGGACCTGAACTTCAGGCTCTGCTGAAGGAAAATGTGGCAGGAGCCCTCTCTACCAAAGGGACCAGTTGCTAGAGTTCTCCAACTCCAGTCTCTTCTCTTGTGAATGAATACTATAATTTCCTGTCAGGGATACCTGTTCTGTCTACCATGGCAGATGTCAGGAAAAGAGACTCCACAAGTTGGCTAGTGTGCCCTGTAAGGGACGATGACCTTCAAGTGTACAAAGCTTACTACCTCTTCGTCTTCAGTGAGTAGGCATAACTGAACAGCCATGTCTCTTACATTTCACATTTTAGCATTAGGAATAAAACAGCAAGCAGAAACAGCATCTTTCAACAACTGAGTTACATTACTACAAAGCAGTTAAAACTTGATAACTTTATTTAGACTAATCCCTTGGCTCTTTGACTTTAAAGCCCTCCTTTATCTGTGAAGCTTTCACATAAGAAACTTAATAAAGTTAACTTTCCTGTGCTTCTTCTTCCTACTTTCTCTTTCTTTTTGAGTAGACCCCAGCAGAATCAGGACAGCTTTGGGAAATGAAGCAAGCACAATGGTAAGCGCTTTAAAATTAAATTTATGGAGGACCAGGGATTTGGCTCAGTGGTTCCGCCGTCTGCCTTGCAAGGGCCTGAGTTTGACCCCCTGTACCAAATAAATAAATAAATAAATTTATGGGCTTCTGGGTTGGTGGTCAGGACCGCTTCTGCTCTTTCAGTCCTAGCAGGTGAGTGGCCTCATGACTGACTGGGGTAGTAGAAGGGGTGGAGGCCGTAGAAAAGGGAGAGTGTGAATGGCAGCCTTCACTGCTTGGGACTTACTTCCCGCTGTCACCCTATACTAGGAAGGAGCTCCTCTCTCCAAGTCTCCTGACCCTCAACCCCTCACTGTGGTTGCCCTTGGTACCTAGGTTTTGAGAGGACCGCCTTTCCCAAGGTAGAGAGTGAGGGCTGCCATTATGATTCCCTACTCTTTGGGGTTCTAGGTGGTAGGAATACTTTGGGCACTCCTTGGGGTCTGCAGCAGCCCCCATGTCTCATTCCCCAAAGCCCATTCTTTGGCTATGGCCCTTACCCCAGTGAGCAGGAAGGTAAGAAAAATCCCTGGAGGCAGAGGCATCCCCAGTGAGATAGGCTTGGGATGGAATGTCACTGAAAACAGCCCTCACTGCAGTCACTGAAAAGCTTCCTTCTAAGTGTGCTTTCTCAGTAATTCTAAGGGTTTTATCTGACATCCTTACAAGAGATATTCTGTGGATTTTTACATGCTTCAGGTGGGACTACAAAGCTGCATTTTTGCCATTTCTTCTCCAGGAGAAAAGATGGTCAAAGAAATAAAAATGTACTATCTTCCAAAAAAAGAAAAAAAATAAATTTATGACAGGGTTGGAATTGTCTCTTATGTGCAGAGCTGTTGCCTAGCATGTCTAAGGCCCCGGGTTTGATCCCCAGCTCCACAAAATGGTAATAATAAATAGTAAATAATTAGTAAATAAATAGTAAATAATTATAAAATGTGTGTATAAATGTATGAAATATCCATTTGATGTGCGTCAAGAAGTACACGTTAAGGGCTAGGGATTTAGCTCAGTGGTGCCACCGCCTACCACCTGCCTCATAAGTGCAAGGTTCTGATTTCAATCCCCAGTACCAAAAAAACAAAAAACTGTAGGTTCTGAAGCCTTCCAGAATTCAGCATGCCAAAGTGCCATGATTTAGGGTATTGTTTACTGAGTATCAGCAATAGCAACTGTATAGAATATCTCATTTTGATATTACATCAAGCTCAGTATAACAAATCATAATGAAATTTTTTATTATTCTTTTCCTCAAACCTGCCAAGTGTCTGTCATTTTATATATCTTCTTCATATTTCTAACAATTGATAATTAAGGGCTATTAATGTATGTGGGTATTCATGTAAATCTGTATATATAGGTTGTGGTTAATATACATATGTAGATAATGTATATGACTAGTAATATACATTTATTTGGGGTTCTGTGACTACTCATTTTAAAATTTGTTATTTATAATAATAATTTATAATTAGAATAGATACCTTTGCATGTCTATTTACTCTTTTGGATCAGTTCAAGCATTATTTAATCAACATTTGAATATCTTTTTTAAAGCAACAGGAAAAACACAGTAGAAAGTACAGCCATACTGATTTTGAAAGCACTAATACAAATTCAGGTGAAAATGCATTGAGGAGAGAAACCAGAGGGAGAAAAGGTAAGTTATCAAACTGTAATCATTACTCATGTGGAAAGTTGGGGAATATAAAAGAAGTAACAATTTTCACATTACAAGGTCGTATGTATCACTAGCAAGTATATAGGCAGGTTTGCTCATCCAGTAATTTATTTAATGTTTTATTTCCTCACTGAAAAAAAAAAAGAGAGAGATTGGGGCTGAGAGTGTACCTCAGTGGTAGAACACATATTCAACATTATATTATATAAGACCCTGGGTTCAACCCTCAGCACTGCCAACGTAGTGAAATAGTATTTATCAGTCAGAACCATTAAGAAAAATGATATTTGCTTGCTATCTACCATAAAAAGTATACCAAACCCTGTGTCTGTAAGTTCTCTTGGGTTTCATTCTTGTACATTGTTCACTATGTAACTATATGCATATTTTTAAAAAAATTCAGTCACTTTAATGATTCACTTTGGATTGATTCATCATTTTGGATAATTTCATTCTGTATTTTTATTTTCATTGCCTTTATTCCTTAGGCTTGAAAAAGCATTGCTGCTAGATCTGAGTTTGAAAGAGAAAAGGGTTGGGGTTCATTGCCTTTATTCCTTAGGCTTGAAAAAGCATTGCTGCTAGATCTGAGTTTGAAAGAGAAAAGAGGGTTGGGGATTTAGCTCAGCAGTTCGGTGGCCTGCCTTGCAAGCGCAAGGACCCGAGTTCAATCCCTGGTACCAAAAAAAAAAAAAAGAATGTTTTAAGGAATTCCAGAAGTACCATACTTGGTTGTAGATGAATAGATGAAATAATACTCTTTGGCATTCCTTTTTCACATTTTAGAATCAGGTAATCAGTCAGCCGATCCCAGAAAAGCCAGCTCACCAAGTCCTCGCAGGCGACAGTGGGAGACAAATGTACCCAGTACAGTCCTTTCAGCTTTGGAAAATGCATCCATACTCACCTCCAGTTTAACAACAGGGGATGACAGAGGTAAGTATGGTCAATATCCTGTGGTGTCTGAGGGTGATTGGTTCCAGATCCATGGATGCACAAGACCATTATTTATATAAAATGGCATAGTATTTGCATATAACCCATGGGCTTCCTTCTGTATATGTTAAATAATCTCTAAATGACTTATAGTACAGTATCTAAAACAATGTAAATACTGTGTAAGTAGCTGTCATACTGTATTATTTAGGAAATAATGATATGAAAAATGTCTGTGTATGCTTAGTAGATTTAATTTTAATTTTAATTCTTTACTTTTCGGTACCAGGGATTGAACTCAGGACCTTGTGCTTGCAAGGCAGGTGCAGTGCCACTGAACTAAATCTCCAGCCCCAAGACCTAATTTTTTTTTTGTACCGAGGATTGAACTCGGGTCCTTACGCTTGCAAGGCAGGTGGCAGAACCGCTGAGCTAAATCCCTGGCCTTAAAAACAATTTTTTATCCAATGATACAGGACCCATGGATACAAAGGGCCAGCTATAGTAAGGTTGAATGCTATAATTTATTATAGAACAAATTGTAATAGTTATTCGCTATATTAAGGTTTTATTTTCTGTCACTCTGTGAAGGATGTTTGGTGTCACACATCAGAGAGCTGTTCATACAGGCAAGTAAAACAGATTTTAGTTGAGGGTCAAATATAATTAACTTTGGAATACAATCCGGAAGATACATGCTAAATTTTTTTTTCTTGTTTAACCCTAATTTTTATTTTTTCACAACTAGGTGGCTCTGTAATAATGTACAGTGAAAATAATACCCGTAAGCAGTGGCTCAGAGAGACTCCTGACACATTGTTGAACATCCTCAAGAATGCAGATCTTAGCCTGGCATTTCAAACTTATACAATATATAGACCAGGTAATTTTTGTCTGTTGTATAATCATATAAAAAAAATGTGGTGGGCCAAGAGTGGTGGAACATGCCCATAATCCTAGCACTTGGGAAGCTAAGGCAGGAGGATTGTTGCAAGTTTGAGGTCAGCTTGGGCTATATAGTAAGACCCTATTGCAAAAACAAAACAAAACAAAACAAAAATTTTTAAGTTATAGCTTACTTGTTGCTGAGACAAAATACCTGACACCCTAAGTTAAAGGAGGAAAGTTTTTTTTTTTCAGCTCACAGTTTGTAGAGGTTTCAGTTCATAGTTTGCTGGTTTCAGGACAGGGTGGTGTGGCAAAGGGGCATCACAGTGGAGAAACGGTTTATGGCAGGCAGAAGGCAGAAGTCAGCAAGGCAGCAAGCTACAAGTGATTACCTTTGTTCTATCCCTCATATCTTATCCAGGCTACCCACCCTTAGGGCGAATAGCACTCACTCTTTATTCTCATAGTACTGTAAATCAATCCCAGCATCACACACCTTAGATCTAGCCACCTCTGAAAAGCCCACCTATGACCACGTGAGGATTCAAGGGGACAGATAGATAGAAGCTCCTAGCCCCCGAAAGATGCACATACATTCCTTTATGCAAAAAGCATTTAGTCCATCTCTAAGTGTTGTTGAAGTTCTAACAGTTTCAGCATTGCTGAAAAGTCCAAGTCCAACCTCTCCTCTCAGTTTTAAGGCAGTCTCTTAGCTGTGAGCCCCTGTACAAATAAAGACAAAGTTAAACACTTCCAACATACAATGGCACAAGATAGACACTTCCATTCCATAGGTTACAAAGAGAAATAGGAATGGGAACAAAGCAAGACCAAAATCAGGTAGGGGCAGACATTAAATCTTGTTCCATATCCAACATCCAAAGCAATTTGTGGCAAGAAGGGCTTGGGTACTGTTGCTTGTAGCTCTCACAGCCTTTCTCTCAGGCCGACTCTGCTCCCTCCTCAGTTTTCCTCAGATGATCCATGTTCCTGGCTTCTCCAAACTTCTGGGGTCTCCACTGTACCTTTGGCTTCACATTCACAGCTTTTTATACTGCCCTCTCAGGACTGGCCTCCCAGGCCTTCTTCTGAAATTTATGTGGAAGTCTTCCTGACCTTACAACTCTTGCATTCTACATGTACCTAAAACCAGCACCATGTGGATGATGCCAAAGTCTGACACCAGCTGGAGCAGTAGCCAGGTGTCCTTCTCTTTTGGCTGTAGAGGTGCCAGTGAACCAAATCCCAATGAACATCTTACCTAGGCCACCACCATTCTGGAACGTGGTACTCTGGGGCTCTCTTCTTAAAGCAGTCTTTCACTTTTGCAATTTTGAGGCTGCACAGCGTAGAGTCCTGCTAGTTCTTGTGATGTCCTCAGGCCATCTTTTCTATTGTCCTCTTCTGAAACACTTGGCTTTTTCTACTAGCCTTTTCAGCAACCAGTTTCTCCTCTATTCCATCTTTGTAGGCTATAACTTTATTGGAGCTTGCTTTCTTGCCAAACTCAAAACGTTTTAAATCATTCTGATGGGTTCTTTGCTCTTGATTCTCAACATAAATCTGACTTAAAGCCCACAGCAGTAGGGGGGCTGCTGGGGATTGAACCCAGGCCCTTGTGCATGCCAGGCAAGTGCTCTACCAAGGCACTATTTCTCCAATCCAAGAATAGCCTTTTTGTCGCATAAATATATTGTTGCTGTAGTGACAGCTCCAAGATCTCTTCTTTTTTTTCAAGTTTTTTTCAAATTTATTTCCTATATTATGAAGGTTAAGCATTTTTTTCTTTTAATCATTACAACAATAAATACGGCTTTATAAATTGTACTGTCCCCTTACCCTACTGATATCACTTGTGAGAGTAGGAAGAAAATGCCACTCTCTTATATTCTTGAAAATCACTGACCTATTCCTTAAGTCTACCAGTAACAACCTCCCCACTCAGAGGCTCTAAAACTAAAAAAAAACCAACTAGATCATAAAGATAAAGAATTTGTATTGATTCAGTTGCTACCAAGAATTTACTGTAGCCACAGCCATGTGATGGTTAATGTTGACCATCATTCCAAAATAGCTCCTTGTAATATTAACTAGTATGAATTTTGTTCAATAAAATTCTAAATCATGTACATCTTCTAGGTAGTTGTTCTGATCTTCCTCATGGTTCCATCCATAGTCTACACTGTCCCAATTTCCTATATTGTCCCCAACCCTGGGTTCATCATCCTCTTGGTCCTGGAACAAGACCTCCTCAGGGTGCCATGAATATAAAACCTCTTGAGTGGAGTTGTCCCATCCACCAATGGTGTTGCCTCTACTCCCTCCAAATCCTCCTGTCCCTCTTCCCATTCATCTTCCTCCTCATCTTGGTCCTCTCCATCTTCCTTGCCTGGCAGTTGGGAAATACATTCTGGGCAGAACAAATGTTGGCAGTAAGGGCATACAGGCTCTTCCTGAAGGGTCTCCCTGGGGCTTGTCCGTCCAGGTTCCATCCACCTCTGGTGCTGAGGTGACGTTACTCTTACTAGGCCTTGGGTGATAGGAGATGATGTAGGCTCTCCAAACCAAGCTTGGGAGCGGCTGGTTTGGACCACTGGAGGATCCATCTCCATGGTTTTCCGAGAGAGGAGAGGAAAGGAGAGACTGGTTGGTGGGACTGGGTGGTGTCAGAGAATGTGTTTAATTCAGGGAAAGTGAGGGTCTGCATGGAGAGAGGTGTCCAGAAATGTACCCCAAAGGGTGGAGAGTGCAGTGGCCAAATTCTATTGCTCTCATATGCTTATAAGATTTCTTTTGTTGTATACTTGTATCTGCTGTACTGAATAGGACTCAAAAAGGATGAACAATTAGAACTGCACAAAATAACCTTTTATAATACTATCCTTAGGGAGCTAGGCCAAAAGAGTACATTTAAGAATGTGCATGTGCCAGGGTTGGTGGTGCATGCCTGTAATCCCAGCACTCAGGAGGCTGAGGCAGGAGGATTGTTGAGAGTTCCAAGCCAGCCTGGGCTACATAGTGAGTTCAAGACCAGCCTGAACTACATAGGGAGATCCTGTCTCAAAATACCAAAAAAAAAAAAAAAAAAAAAAAAAAAAAAAAAAAAAAAAATGTGCCTATTAGCCAGATGTGGTAGTGCATATACATGTATATATAATTTTGAAAATTCCATTATAAGCCACTTTGCTAGATTGAAATCTGAGATAAATTATATCAAATAGAGCCCATATTGGTATGTAAATCTTAACTATATTTATTGTAGTAGATTTAGTTATATTTGTTTACATAGGTTGAGATTAAAAAAAGAAGGTTAGGGATCTGGTTCAATGGTAGAGCATTTGCCTAGCATGTGAAAGGCCCTGGGCTTGATTGTTAACACTGTAAAAATTAAAAGAAAAATCTAGGCACAGTGGCTCATGCCTGTAATCCCAGCACTCTGAGAGGCTGAAGCAAGAGGATCACAAGTTTGAGCCTTAATCTCAAAATAGAAAATAGAAAGATTTGGGATGTAGTTTAGTGCAAAGCCCCTGGTGTCAATCTGTACTACCAAAAAGGAGTACAACATACTTCCTTCTCTAAAGAATGAAGTTCATTATCTAGGAGACCAGCACGCAGAGAACTGTAGTGGCCTGTGGTCTGTGCACTCTGGTACAGTTTGTGCACAGAGGTTTATGGGGACCTTCAGAGGAGGTAGATAGCAGGGAGAAAGATGTTAGGAAAGCTAATGGCTGTGAATTCTTTTCCTTTTTTCTCTTTTTTTGGCTGTAATTTGTTTGTTATGGTGGTAGTGGTGGTGGAGAGACAGGTTCTTACAGTGAAGTCCAGGCAGCCGTGTAATGCACTATGTAGCCAGACTGGACTCAACCTCTATCTTCCTGCCTCAGCCTCCTGAGTGCTGGGATTATAGGCATTCATCGTCATGCCTGGTTTGTAAAATGAAGTCTTTGGTATTTTAGGAAATTCATTGTCTATAAAATACATCATTTCTCTGTTTGATACAGCCAGCATAGACTGGCCTTGAACTCACAATCCTGCCTTAGCCTGAGATTGGGATTATAGACATATGCCAACACAGTCCAGCTACATGTTTGTTATGCTTGGTGTCTGGAGATTTAGCTCATTAATACTGTGCCTGCCTTACAAGCACAAGATCTTGAGTTTGATCCCTGGTACTGAAAAAAAAGAAAAGAAAAAACTTGCAGTTGTGGCTCAGTGGTAGAGCACTTGCTCAGCATGCCCAAGACTCTAGGTCAAAGCCTTAGCACTGTAAAAATAAATAAAAATAAAATCCATGCATGTGATCTTCCTTCCTTTGATTCCTTACTTTTCTTCCTTTTATAAAAAGTAGAGAGGGGAAAGCTCAAAGGAGAAATATTAATTGTAATTCAACTATCAAAGATAACTTTAAAGGCCGGGGATTTAGCTCAGTGGTTCCACCTCCTGCCTTGCAACCACAAGGACTCGAGTTCAATCCCCAGTACCCCCCACAAAAAAAGATAACTTTAATATAGGTTCTTGGTTTTTGTTTTTTTTGATAGGGTCACACTATGCAGTTCAGGCTGTCCTTGAAGTCACTGTGTATCCCAGGCTGGCCTTGAACTTTTGGCAATCCTCCTGACTCAGCCTCTAGTGTACTGGGTTACAGGAATGGACCACGATGCCTGGTGCTTTAATACAGCCTCTTGTATTTAAAAGTTTTTAGTGTAATTTTCTGAGTATTTTTTTCTCTTGAAGGAAGTATTGTTTTTAAATTTAACCTACTTCCTGATACTTCCTGGGCCTGTATTAGGCAAAATCATGCTGGGTAATTACTGTTAACATTGGTGTATTTAATTGGGTGCTATGGTAGGAACGTGGAGCCTCAGAACTCTGGAATGTGAGCTGAGGGAGATTACTTGAGTCTAGGAGTTGGAGACCAACCTGGTTGACACAGAGACCTTCTCAAAAATAAATAGGGCCAGGCATGGTGGTGCATATCTGTAATCACAGCACTCTGGGAGGCTGAGGCAGGAGGATTGAAAGTTCAAGACCAGGCTGGGCAGCAAGTGATTTAGCAATCCCCCCCCCAAAAAAAATAAATAAATAAAAGGAACTAAGAATGTAGTTCAGGAGTAGAGTGGTTGTCTAGTATCTGTGAGGCACTAGGTTTCATTCCCAGCATGTAAATAAATAAATAAATATATGTTTTCTGTTAATTCCTCTTGGAGGTTCAGCAGAATTCTTAAAAGGCCCTTTGTCAGAAGAAACAGAAGCAGCAGACAATGTTGATGGAGATCTGGATGCTGTCATTTTGGATCCAGAGAGACTGGAACCTCGGCTAGATGAGGAGGACACGTATGTTATATACCTAGAAAGCTTCAGTTGGAATGTGTGTATCTGTGTGTATGGGTGGATGTACTGTATTATATACCATAGTAATTTCAGATTAGTAGGAGCTTGTTCTATTAGTTTTCATCATAAATGAATTATGTCATGATTTTTTGTCCGGGATGAGTAATCTATTGCAGTTTTATTATTAATTATTATTATTATTAACTCATATACATATAGATAGAGAGAGAGAGAGAGAGGGAGAGACTCTGTAGTTCAAGCAGCAGTCCTCCTGCCTCAGCTTCCCAAATGCTGAGATCACAGATGTGTACCATCATGCCTGGCTCAGAATTTTTTTTTTTTTTGGCTCAGAATTTTTGACTG